TGCAACGGACCAGAGAACATCTCCGTACAAATATGCCGTCCAAAGCGTTTGGCTTTGCTGTGTTACACAATACAATGTTCTTCCTTGCTTCGATCTGAGTTGGGGTGCTGTGTCACCGCAGATGTACGGTGCTGGGTTTCCGCTGAGCATTTGCTACCAGCAGTAAGATTTTTGACGTATCGGATGTATGGTGATGATCGTGACCACGTCCCCCAATACGTTGTGTGGGAGGTGTCATGGGTGTAAGGAGCAGGACGAACGTGAGGGGCCCTCTGGCACGCGGCTGCACACGCACACGCACACGCACACGCACGTGCGAATACCGTTGGTCGGGTCACAGAGCAAAATTGCAGTGCCTTTGTAACAACAATATCTTGTTTTCATGCTCGCGACCCACAAAGTTCAGCTGCGGGCCTCGCAACTTCCCGCGGTCCGAACGCATCTCATAAAAAGACGTTGGCCGTTGCACCAAAATAATTTTAATATTACCCAGGATTATGTAGACCTCAAATCCAATGCAGTTTTGCTACATGCGGCATGCTCGGGTGCTTCATGTTTGACCACAGGCCGCGTCACAGAACTGCAAGAATACGGCCCGCCTGCAGGACCGAATGCACTGCAATATTATAGAATTATAAACCCTTCAAAATCATGCAAACAGATTTTCAAAATACTACGCCATCATGGAAATCGCCTCCTCCTAGTAGTAGGCAAATAGGGCCGGTCATCCGTGAACAGCAACAGTTGCTTGAAGATTCTACCATCTCCATACTATGAAGGAGAGCTTCTTCATTTCTTCATTTTATCTGAACCTTAATGTACCTTAACCGAACCTTAACCTTCCTTCCAACACAATGTCCATGGACAACGGTAATGAGGTCGGCACCTACGAGTTTGACCGGAACGCCCTGGACAACATCGCCCGTCGGCGACAAGATCGCCCACGCAAGAAATACAGCCAGCATCGTCCAGTGGATGAGTTTGGAGTACATAAGTTTGCCAGGGCAAACAATCTAAGTCAATTTACCGCGTGCCAATTGGAGGATGCCTTGTCCAAGGAAAGGTGCTTGCGTAGCTAGTATTGCCTGGTTTTAGTTGTTGCATGTAAGCTTGTGAGTTGGTGGCCTGGTTCATGCTTATGGGCGACAATTGAAATGCCGTGACAATGACTTATTAGGGACAATGACACGGCATTTCACGCCCTCAAAGCGGGAACAAACGCTAAAACTAAATACATACATAGTTCTAAAGCTTCTACTAAAATTTTCCTGCAGCGTTAGAGGCCTTTAATTAATATTGGCGAACGATGCTTCCCGCGCTACCGGGATACTCCCTATGGCATAAACATGCCGGTTGCCGGCCGAGTGGGGCCCGTTAAGCCAACTGGCCGGTAACCAAAGCGGCCGGTTCAATCGCCGTAGAAGCTTTAGAACTATGTCTGTATCAAGTTGGAGCGTTGGTCCCAGACCGTAGGGCGTCGCATGTCGTGTCTTAGACGGGAGTTACGTGTTGTCGCGGGATGCATATTGCGGCCTTTACCCCTTAACGGCGCCAGAGCTGCAAGAGCAATAATCGCACAAGCAACAGAACGCAATCTCAACTCTAGCCAAACACGTTCCGGCCGAGCCTCGGCTTTCTCTTAAATGGCCGGCCTCGTTATTGCGCTTCCCGGATCTCGAAATTGCCATTCCGCGCTTTTGGCGAATACACCGGTGCCTACTCACAGAGGGGCGCACAGTACCCAGGGGAAAGCGGAAAAACAAGGAGAAAAACACCAAAGGGCAAAGACCTACCCGTGGGGACCAAGCGATCGAGAAAATGGGCAGGCGGGGAAATAAGGGGTTAAGGGGGTTACCCGGTTTTCTTTCCAGCCGTTTATGCCTTTAAAAGTTCTTCGTTCCGCAATATTCCGACACTGGACCACCTGTTAGACGACAATTGCCTAAAGTTAAGCCCCCCTTGGATTTAGGGAATCCGAGTTGTGCCCTAAAGATCCAAAGATGGAAAAAAGGTTTATTTAATAGATTAGATTAAGAATGGGTGCCATACTTAGCAAACCCTATGGTAAGAATGGTAAAACCCGCCAAAGAGCAGCTAAGTATGCTTTAGGCAAAGAATCAATAAGTTGGCCTAAGAATGTATAAGAACACCCAAAGAACGAAAAGAATACATAAGACTGCTGACCCTAAAGAATGGTAAAGAATCGTAGAGAATGGTAAAGAGTGGTTTTATTTCTTAAGAATGAGACTTAAGAATGGGTGCCATACTTAGCAAACCTATGGTAAGAATGGTTAAAACCGGCCAGAGAGCAGCTAAGTATGCTTTAGAGAAAGAATCACTAGGTACGTATAAGAACACCCCAAAGAATGGAAGAGAATACATAAGACTGCTGGGACCTGAAGAATGCTAAAGAATTTGAAAGAACGGTTTTAAGATAAACGGAGGTCATACGAACGTTCTTAGAACGTTCTTAGAACGATGTAAGAACGTTCTACTGATTATTCGATTTTATCAATTTGGCTGGGCTAAGAACGACTTAAGAACGTTCTTAACCCCCCTCCGCGTTCGTAGGGTACTGGATTATCGTGCCCGCCGCCTAGGAAGACGCCGTAAGGGGCTGGTGCACGAGTACCTCGTCAAATGGACCGGGTATTCCAATGAACATAATAGCTGGGAGCCAGAGAAAAACTTTACGCCCGACCTTCGCCCCGAACTTCAAGCAGTTAAGGCTCGTGCCACTAACGCTGCAAGGACGCTGCGTCCTGAGGGGGGATAGTTGTTGTGGCACACTTGCATATTAACCCTCGGATCTTTCCCCAATTCTCTGGCACTTTGCCGCTGGGCAATATCTTCGCTCTTACTTGGTTAACCATTGGGCACTTGCCTATCTTTAATTGGGCGCTGGCCCACCTTTAAGCGGGCACTTGCCTGTCTTCATCACGCGTGATACTGGATTATAGCGCTCTTGCTATAATCGTGACACTTGTCACTGGTAGACCCACTTGGGTTACGATTGCACCGATTGGTGATAATTCGCGTTGACGACTATATCTTCGGACCGTACAGACTTCTGTACGGGTCGTCCTAACGCAGAGGCATTTAGCCTCTTCTCATTCACTCATCGGTAGTTTTCACTACCACCTAAACAGTGGAGGTGGATACAACAGCTTGCATTCAAAGGTGCTAGCACCAAATCCATAGCTCCATGATTAAGAGATTTGTAGGGAGCACCATACACTCGTTGGATTAGAATACATGTATCCAGCAGACACACACACACACACACACACACACGCACACACACACATAAACACATAAACACATGTGTCTAGGTGCATGTACATGCACAAACATTTGGACATGCACATACCATGTGTATGTGTATGTCGCCGACCTATTGCAGCGGCTTGCAATTGTTTTCTCGAGGAGGTCTTGGACATCACAGACTGGGTACATCACACGCAGGCGCATTGAGCCCAGGGGAGCGGGAGATCCTCTAGAGGATCTCAAGATCCATGCTGAGCACCACCGTAATGGCTTCTGACCATCCATGGGCCCCCTTGGCTCCCAGAGGTGGTCCCCATCCTTGTGCTCACTTTTATGTATATGTTACATTCTGGACAACATTGAAGTCCAAGGGGGGGAGTTGTAAAAGTTTATCATTGTGATAGAGGATTGGTGGTTGTGATGTCGCAGGCTCAATTCCCACTCAGCACATTATGATGACACTTCAAATCCATGGGATGAACCTTGCTGTCATTGAATCCAAGCCAAAACAGAGTACAACTTGTACAGTACAAGACATGTGCCAGAGCATATCTGAAGTGGGCTCCAGGAAAGAAGGGATGGTAGACAACGCCAAAATCACATGCTCAAAGTCGGTTTCAGAACAGACAGGCAATACATATAGGGATTCAAAAACTCTACACATCTCTAGATAGGGGCTGCATACACATATATAACATAACACAATTCTGAAGATAATTAGCTGTCCTCGACACTTTCATCCCTTATTGCATGTTGGGCGATATTCATGGCCATTATTATTGTTACATTATGCCATAGGTTCATCCTTAGGGCAAAGGCTCTACTCGGTAGCCGTAGCGACTACGTAGTAGTCTAGCGGAGGCCTTAGGCCGATTCGCTGTCCCTCCGTAGCCGTAGCGACTACGTAGTAGTCTAGCGGAGGCCTTAGGCCGATTCGCTGTCCCTCCGTCCGTCCCTCCGTCCGTCTCTCTATCTGTCCACCACGTCGCCGGTTCAATCCCCAGTGCGCGCGCGTCTTTTTTTTGCGCGCTTTTTTTCTTTTTTTTTCTTCGTATGCTTCATATGCTTCATATGCTTCATATGCTTCGTATGCTTCGTGTGCTTCATATGCTTCATATGCACATATGCGTCTTATGCGATA